CACACACACACACACACACACGACACGACACGACACGACGCACACAAACACAAACACACACATACACACAAACACAAACACACACATACACACACACTCACACAAACTGCACTCACACACACAGTTATCACGTTACTACTCACGAACTTCCACGCTCACCAGGCAAAGCCCGTGTTTGCATCTGTGTGGGGCACGGAGAAACTGCTGTCTAGCATGGACGGCATTGGGCTACAGAGACCGGCACAGCAGAAGCAAGACTTTGACACTGGCATATTCTGGTATGATTACATAACACGATTGAAGACCTGAGAAAAATACTGTGCCTTGGTCTATTTTCTCAAATACTGGTTGGTTAATAACCATTTACACATAATAATATGATTATATGGTCGCTTTTAAGCACAAGGGGGCTGTCCCGAAAATGCTGTTTTGAAAAAATCAAAGGTAAAGTTTTTGCCCCTTGTTCAGTTTCTTTAAAAGATAAGAAGAGTTTTCTCTATAACCAAACAAATATACACACCTATGAAACCAAACTTCTCCTATAGGTAGGGCAATGCCCACTTTTACTGTAAGTCAAGATTTCTGGAAACTCCCGAAATCTGGGTGAGGCTACTTGTCCGTAAAAGCGACCATATAGATCTAGTCATGGTTCTGAAATGAAGGGCAGAGCCAGCTTGATAAAACACATGTATAGTTCACGTGGACAAAAGAATAATCTAAATATAAAATCAATTGAGCGTACCAAAAATTCAAGCTTTTCCCGGAGTCGAACACTTGTTTTTTTTTCAAAATGGCTAAACATGACTTAGGCCTTTAATCTTATGAGGGTGACGATATGTTATTGCAGTATTGGTTTAGTTTTAGTAAGAGTTTTACGGCGGCACTTACAACACAATTAGGTCATATAAGTGACGGAGACTACAGGCGAAAAACAGCCACAAAAAAAGGAGAAGAGATAAGGATGGTAGATGTTTGATAGGGGGCTCTCGGAGTCTAGATGTTATGGTGTTTGCCTCTCATTCGCTAGGTCCCAGGTTCGAATCCGCGACAGAAAACTTTCCTCTCTTAAAATTTCTCCTTTCACCTCCTTTCCTGCTCTCAAGCCCTGTTCTGTTGTCTGCTTTGGTCTCCACTTTCTGCCCATCCCCACTCCCGTTTGCCCCCTCCTCTGGGCTGCTGGCTCTCTCTGCAGCCTTTCGACTGCTACTCCTCGGCTCCTTCTCGCAGCTGTATTTCATCCGCACCCCTGATCTTATGGTAGGTAAGATCAAACACCTAGACTTCTCAGATAAGGGCCAACAATCTCAGAGGTCCCGTGTGCTAGTTGCGTACGTTAAAGATCCCGTGGTGGTCCTAAATTCGATAAGAAGAGTGGTCCTCGGCCGCCACCCGGACATAAATTTCCTACCAACTGGAAAATATTTAATGTGTCCAGCGCTCATACGACCTTATGCAGTTGGGAGCCCAATAAAGCACACACACACACACACACA